ATGTTTATAAAGTACTTAACAAAATATCCACCACACAGTAAGTACTCAATAAATAAAGGTTATGATTCAGTTGCGTATTCAAATAATATTAGTGAAAGGGCATGATGCAGACCAGGAATAAAAGACCGATGGGGCTTAAATATTGAGAGAGAAAGAGCGGTGGAAGATGAAGCTGGGATGAGGAAGGCTGAGGAGGCAGGGGCAGCACTTTATGGGCCATAGTGGGAATGAATGAGAACCTCCAAAGGATTTTTATTTTGTTGGGACTGACTTATTTTGTTGAAACATGAGGATGAGTGGGATAACATGCATGTGAGGTTTTGAAAAGATGGATCTTGCTATTTGTGTAGATAATGGCTCAAAAGGAAAAGATAGCTTAGATACTGACAAAATTGCTTTGCAGTTATAACAATGTTCCATGCTAGGGATGATGATGGCTTGAGATTGCAATGAAGAAAATAGCGCAAGTGAAAGAATCTGAGATCTGTTGAATTGACTGGAACTGGAATCAGGGGTAGATACCCTCCTTATTGCTTCACTGATGCTTCAAATCATTCTCCCTCCTTCCTCACCAAAAAAAAAAATTTAAGCTTTGACTCTCATATCATGAAACTATATTTGCACACCCCCTCTTTTTATTATAGTCACTTGCTCCATTCCTTAAAGCCAAGTCACTACTCCTCAATTGCTGAGGATGTTAGCAATTGTATCACTGTCTTTCTCCTGAACACAACTCCTGTCACAGATCTGATAGGTTGATATCCCCATAAAAACTCCTCATATTCTGTTCCCTCAGATTTTGACCTTCTTGCCACCACCAATCTTGTCATTTTCTGGTCCTGCTCCAGGACAATTCTTTGACTGCATTTCAAACTTCAATCTATTTATCCTGCCACTTCTTCACTGTCCCTCGTGTCTCAGTCCTTCCTTATATTCCAAGGCAAGTCACCTTTGTCATCTTGCATACACCTTCAATTCCATTGTCGCTCTATTGCTTTGTCATATTTACTTGACTAATTCATAGTTTGAATTCAATCCAACTCACTGGCTTCTCTGTGGAGGTTATCTATTTAGCTAATAGAAAAACATACTACCTTTCTGGCTGATCTCACTTTACCCTCTCATTATTCTCAAAGCCCCAATTGTTGTCTGACAACAATGCTGTATTTCCTTAGCCCAGCCACTCTCTTGGGCAACTATTTCACCCCATAGCTTCTCTTCTTAATCCTCTAAAACTGTTGCTCCATCCTTACTCCAGCTTTTAAAAAAATGGTTATTTCACATAGAAAACTAAAAAGAACTTCCACACCTTTCTCCACCACATCTATCCACGTGCCTGATTTTCTGTCCCTGTACTCCTATCATCCCTTCTACACCCTATGCTCCTATGTAAGGCCAACCTTTCTATTTACACACCTAGCTCTATCTCCTTTTGCCCAAACAAGGACATTGCTCTTCCAAATTTTCCCCTTCTTGCATCTTCAGCTTCTTCCTTCCTGCTGGATCATTCCCATCAGCATACAAATATGGTATTCTTTCTCCCAATATTAATATATAAACAAAAATCCTCTGTTTCTTCTTTTTACAGCAAAACTCATTGAAAGAGTTGTCTAGCCTCATTGTGTGTAAATTCTTTCCTCCCAATCTCTCTTAAATCCACCCCAATTAGGCTTTTATCAAAACTGCCTTTCTCAAGGTCATCAATAACCCCCACATGGGCTAATTCCAACTCTCATCCTGATCTTACATCACCTTTCAGTAGCACTTAATATAGGTGATGACTCTCATCTCTCAAACACTTTCTTTACTGTGCTCCAGAACTCTGCACTTGCTGATTTTCCTTTCTCTAGCTGCCTTTTCTCAACCTCCTTTGCTGGTTTCTCACTTTTTCTTTCCCTCCTGCGCAGAAGGAAATTTGCTATTACTTGCTGTATATTTCTGTTGCATTAAAACATGAGGTTGATGACAGCATGGATTCTTCTGTGTTTACTTTATTACCATCTTTCTGGAGCCTAGAATGGTGTTTAACGCACAATAAGAACTTAAATAAATGAGTGAATAAGTGAGTCTCCAGGAGATTTAGTGATTTCTCCCGTTACAAGTTAGCAGCTAATAAGTGTCAAAGCCAGAATTCAAGCCTCATTTCAGGACCCTTGTGCTTGCACGCTGGTGACTTACCCAAGCCAGAATGGAAAACTCTCCATCCCTGTTTGGAGGAGTCCACCCAAAGTTCCCATTCTTCCTGACTTCTCATAAAATGTGCATAATCCCATGAAATAAGCTTTCCCAGTGTCCCTGCTGGGACTTCCCACTCATCTCTAATTTAATGAATCCAAACAAACAGGACAGAAAAGGAGCTTCTTCCCCATGAACAGAGAAGCAAGTAAACATCTCCCTAAATTTCAGGTTGCAATTAGCAATTCCAGAGAGCCAGGAATTTTAGTTGAACCGAGATAGCCACCCATTATCAGCCCTGCTGCTAGTATTAAGCCCACTTAGATGACTATGCCTTAACTCACAGTACCACTGGGAAATAAAGGTTTGTTCATGAAAATTGAATTTGATATAACCCTCCCCTTCAGGGCACAGTTATCTAGAAATTCAGTGTTCAGATTGGCCTGGAAATATTGTATTCTAACTATTAAAATCCACACATTTGCTGGAGCACTAATGTACATGCAAGGTACTCTCTTCTGTTGAGAGATCATTATAAAAATAAAAATAAGAAAATTACAGCCTTCTTTGAACCTTATGTGCTGAACTTGAATTAAAAGCTTTACAGTCAATATGTCACTTAATTCTTACAACAGCTTTACAACATGGAGTAATGTCCACATTATAGCTAAGAATGCTGTGTTAGTTCATCTTCTTATGACCCTAGAAAGAATAACTATCACAGTGGAAATTCCAATCCAATTCTTTCTGACTCTGAGCTGGGGCCCTTAACTAATGTGTCAGACCACCTTCAGTTAAGAAGATTAAGAAGTTAAGAAGGAGTAAGATTCTGACTCATCCCCTATCTCTAGGAGCTGAGATTTTTCAGGAGAAAAATAGAAAAACACCTAACTTGGTGTGTTGTTGCTTTTCAATGCTGATTACTGTAATGAATGATGCTATTTAGGAAGAAACTTATTCTGAAAGGAGTCAGCTAAAATCCTCTATGTATAAGGCATTTGAATTATAGGTAAGGTTTAAAAGTTTGACATGGGGCAAAGAACATTTCAAGGGAATTGGGGGAAAAAAAAGACAAAATCTTGAATCAACTAAAACAACTGAAGCAGCAATCTTTATAAATACAAGACTGTTGCACTACTTTATAAATACAAGATTGCTACATCCAGAAGATGTTATAATTAATCCCAATAGGGAGACTCACACACTGAACTTCCACACGTCATCCGTTTGGAATTAAAGAAATGCAAAGGATACCTTCCCCTAAAGTTCTCCATTTTGCCTGAAGACCTCCTTACCTTACTATCTCAACTTCTTCCAGACAGTAAACAGGTTAATGGCCTGCTTTTAAAAGCTAAAACTCCTAGGAAAATTACAATCTATAAATCACATCTCACTCTGTATTGATTTACTTCCTGTGGCTTCCTCCTAACCCAGCTGAGAGCTAGCATCTGATGCACAAACAGTATTGATGGGGAGGATGGAAGGGGAAGGAAGAGGAAGCAGTAATTCTAGTACCTGGGGTACACCCCAAGGGGCAGGTCTGAGTCAAGTCCTGAGGCCTAGCTGTCAGTCAGATACAGGAAAGAAGAAGGCAAATGATAGAGGAGAGGAACCATTACAAGGGACAGAAATCCAGCTCAAACTGGCCTAAGCAAATTAAGAGAATTGATTGAATTTGATCTCTAAGTTGAGTCAGGTTTTTGCTGTGGCTAAACCTGCAGGCTTTGTCACCACATCACCTGAGCCCAGATCCCTGCTCAAATCCTTACTCACTGTAAGCATGTTAGTTAAGTTCTCTGGGCTTTGCTTCCCCTGAGTGTGATGATAATAATCATGGGTTTGAGTGGGTTAATGCATGTATTATGGGTTCAATTATGCTCCCCCCAAAATGTTCAAGTCCTAACCCTTAGTGCCACCAATTTCTTTATTTGGAAATAGGATCTTTGCAAATGTAATTAGTTCAGGTGAGATCATACTGGAGTAGAGTTGCCTTTAATTGAACGTGATTGCTGTCCTTATAATAAGGGGTGAGAGATACAGAGACACAGACACAAAGATGCCATGTGATGATTGAGGGAGAGATTGAAATGCTACAGCTTCAAACCAAGGAGATCTAGGACTACCAAAGTTGTAGCAGGCAAGGAAAGATTCTTCCCTACAGTTTCAGAGGGAGTATATTAGTTTGCTTGAGCTATTGTAAGAAAATACCATAAACTGATTGGCTAAAACAATGGAAATTAGTTTTCTCACAGTTCTGGAGGCTAGAAGTTCTAAGTCAAAGTCAGGTAGGATTGGTTTCTGGTGAACTTTCTCTTCCTGGCTTGCAGATGACCACCTTCTCCTTGTGTCCTCACATGGTGGAGAGAAAGAATGAGGTCTCTTGTGTATCTTCTTAAAGGTTACTAATTCTATCAAATCAAGACTCAATCCTATGACCTTATTCAACTAACTTACTTCCAAATACAGTTAACACTGGGGGTTGAGGCTTCAACACACAAATTTGAGGTTGGTATGGAGGGGACACAGTTCAGTTTAGAATAGGGAGCATGGCCCTGCCAACATCTTGAATTTGAACTTTTAGCCTCCAGAACTATAAGGCAATACATTTTTTACATTTCTGTTTGTTTTAAACTGCCCAGCTTGTAGAACTTTGTTTCGGCAGCTCTAGGAAACCAATACAACATGTGAAATGCTTACACTCATGCTTAGTGCATAGTATTTCACACATGCCAGGTATTATTATTACAATCAGGCATAATTCAATCCAGGACCTCAAGCAATATCATCAGGAATTTCTTTTTCCTCTGCTCTCCACTTTGCTTTCTTCTGTATTAGTTCATGTTCACAACCTTTCAGGTTGGCTCACCCTCATGGTGACCTTGGGAACTCCAGTCATACATGGTATGAAATTAGTAGCCCCCAGGGGTGGGGGAACGTCTCTTTCCCAATAGTTCCAGCAGAAGTCCTGGGGCTGAGTCTCATGGCCTGGATGAAGTCACATCACTGAATGCTGAAACAATCACCGTGGCCAGAGGGATGCAGTGTTTTGGCCAGACATGCCCACCAGGCAGCCCTGACTGGAGTCAACTCTGTTGGAAACACACGGCCCAAAAAGGAAACTGGGTGGTTAGGAAAAAGGAATTCAGACTTCTAGTACCCCAAGGGGGACCAAAATGTTGGGGAGACATAAACAATAGATAATGATTACATAGGATTTTAGAAAACTGAAATGGATAAACATCTCTGAAGTTCCCAGTATGTTTATGACGCTATAATAGTAAGAATTATTGGTTGCAAATACTGAAACCAGGATTAGTCAACTTAAACAGAAAAGGAAATGTCCAGAGAGTCTGGCAGTTTACAAAGCAGAAAAACCAAGAGGCTGGAGAATCAGACTTGGGCACAAATGAGCAATGCTAACTCTCGCCAACATCTCATCTCATCTGGCTTCTGTGTGAAAGTTGGGACCCTTCCCCCTACCTATTTAGGACCCCTCACCCCGAAACAAGTAAGGTGTTTAGATGTTGAGTGGACAAAGAGAAAGGTTCGCTATAATCTTCTACTTTATGACATTGAGGAAATGGTTGTGAATTGAAAGAGACCTAGAACCTTCCAGAACCTGACATCCAGGAGGGAGAGACTTCTTTAGAACTACCAACACTCAAGTCAGAGTACAACACCAAGCCCAGGGAGAACCTGAGAAAGCTCCAAGAGGAAAATAACAGCAAGTCAATGAGGGCAGCAGCAGGGGTAGAAAAGAGAATTCTAGAAGTGACAGCATGAGTGAAGGCATGGAGAAAAATAGAATCGGTCAAATAAAATAAGGGAGCTGTTTTGACTTCCAGAAATATGTTTCTCAGCAGCATCTCAATGCCTCAAAGATTATCTATAAGAACAGCTGTTACCCAACAACTACTTGAGGCTTAATATAAAGGAAAACATTCCCACGCCAATCTGCTCTTGAAATAGAAGCTAAGGAGACACAAAAATACCAAGGCCACTACAGCAGCCTGAGTCGAAGCTTTTTATGGAACAAAGAGCTCTGTGGGTTCCTAAAGGACTCACTTCTCCTCCTCCATGGTTCTGTTTCTCCTGAGCGCTCACGGTCAGGGTGTGGGGAAGGACAAGGGCAAGCAGCCACCTGAGCCAGAGCCAGCCTCCAGCTCCCGTGCATCCATGAGGTGTGCCCTTCCCAGGAACAACAACAATCATTGAAGCTGTCTCTAGAATTTACTAAGAGTTGAATGGGGCTAAAGCTATTCTGAGAGTTTTGCATGGTTATATCCTCTGCCACAACCTTATTAAGTAGATGTTGCTCTAATCCCTATTTTACAGATGAGGAAACTGAGGCATAGAAGGTAAAGTCATGTGTCCCAGATAGGGTATCCCATCATTCTTCCTCCCACACTACACAGAATAGTAACCAAAACCTCTGCAGCATTATGGAGCTTTCGAAGGCTGCGGGAAGGGAGGGGCATGAGTGGCAAGAGGGGAAAAGCTGAAAGTTCTTCTTCAATATTTGCAATGTGCCAGGTTTTGTGCTGAGCACTCTGCATAGTCTAGAAAACAAAAACAAAGTAAAATCTATTCAGCAAATGGGCAACGATAGGAATGTGAGGAATGCCACTAAACTGAACATTTGAAAATGGTTAAAAGGGCCAATTTTGTATTATATGTATTTTAACACAATACATATTTTAAATAAAAATAAAAATATTTTTAAATCTATCAGGTGCAGGCTAATGCTGTAAGCATTCGTTCATTTCACTCTCTCAGCAGCCCTACAAGGCAGATGCCATTTTCTATCCCAGTTGAATGGAGGCTTCCAGAAGTCAAGTTATTCCTTTTGTTATAATTACCAGCTAGTCTAGTGCATGCTTTCAATTCCATTATCTTGTGCTGCAGGTAGTACTTTCAGTAATAATATTAGTAGTGCTGTTAATAATAATTAGTATTATTAATTACCAGTGGTAGTCGTATTAGAAATAATATTATTACTAATAGTACTTATTATTATTAGCATAGGCTTTCGAAGCAGCCAACATGGTTTTGAATCGCAACTTCTTCATCTACTAGCTGTGTGATCATGGACAAGTTACTTGACCTCTCTGTGCCTGTTTACTCATTCATAAAAGAGATAATAGTAGTGCCTCTTCCATAGGTTTGTCAAGTGGATTGCAATGAGATCTTAAAAGTGCTTAGCACAGAGCCTGGCAAATAGTAGGTAGGTGCAGAATAAAATATTAACGGTACTGTATTAATATTTTCAAGAGGGAAATTAAGCTAAGGAAAGGGGCCGTGCAACTTACTTGAGGCTATACAACTAGTGAAAAGGTGGACAGAAAGTCTCATATCTTTGCTGGCCAGGGGGGAAGAAGGTGGATGTTCATAGGGGACATCATGACACTTCTCACAACCATTACAGAGAGATTTGGGGAGAGGATCTTAGATCAGTGACGGCTCAGGCACCTTTCTGGGTAGGAAGCTCTTTGATAAATCTGTAACATGTTCAGACTGTAGACATTCCACAAAAATGCATCCATGTGAGGTGACACAAACTTGCGAACAAGTTTCCAGGATTCTCAGGTTCTTGAATTTCTCTTCCCCACCCAGGGGTACTCTCTGGTAGGAACGCCTGTCCTAGACCTCCCAAACCCGTCCCACTTCTACTGGCATAGGAGGAAGACTCCCAAGGAGGTTCAGGCAGTAATTCTCACTTCTCTTTCTGATTCAATAAGCCTGGTGTGCAACGCAGAAATGCCGATTTTAACAACCTTCCCAATTTTGAGAATTGCAGGTTCATAGGATTTGCCCAAAGTCACCCAGGTAAAATGAGGTCAAGACAGGATCAGCCCTAAGAAATTATTCCACCTGAGGAGTCTGAACTCTAACCAGTGATGTTTTTTGTTTTTACCTTTCATACAACCTAAAACTATTCTCAAGTGAATTAAACATTTAGTACTTTTCAAAATAATTATGTAAAGAAAGAAATTCTGCATAGAAGGAAATACACCAAGCTTCTCATAGTGGGATCTCTGAAAAAGTGGAATTATGACCTTTTCCTTCCTTCTATCTCCTTTTTTATATTTCCCAGCTTTTGTATAATAAATGTGTTCTGCAGAATGAGACATCTTTGAAAGTAAACTTTATGTTTAATATGTGTATTTTTGTATTTGTGTTTTCTAGACAGTGAATTTAGAACATTAAACCATTTTGTTTATATTTTTCCTGGCTCCTTAACTTAAAAATAAAATTATGGATGGCTTGCAGTGGTCAGCAAACTCATTAGTCAACAGAGCCAAATATCAACAGTACAACGATTGAAATGTCTTTTGAAAGCCAAATTTTTAACTTAAACTATATAGGTAGATACATTGTTATTAACTTAATTAGGGTACTCCTAAGGCTTAGGAAGAGCCACACTCAGGGGCCAAAGAGCCGCATATGGCTCGCGAGCTGCGGTTTGCTGACCACGGGCTTAGGGGAACCAAAATGAATTTACTTGAAAGTGAACCAAAACAAAACTTAGAAGGAAAAATGTGGTATTTGATTAACAACCTTGTGAAGAATTGCAGATGCAGACCCAGAATTGGGGGGGCGGGGGGGGGCTTCCCTATCATCCTTGAAGAAAAAATAAAACTGATTGCACCGCCTTGGATGATTTAATAAGGCTTATGTTTTCAGATCGTCAGTGCTTTGATAACAATGCCATTAGGAAAAAGAAGGTCAGGAAGACATAAAACGCCTGCATCCTGGGAGTGTGATAACAAAAGAATGATGAGGGAGCCTTAGGACTGTCTCGCACTTACTAGTTTTCCAAGCCCATTTATAATAATTAGTGATTGGAAAGAACCCAAATGGCTAACAATAGGGGAACGGCTAAACAAACAGCGGTCGATGGACAGAGATGGAATACTTCATAAAGGGAGACGAGACGGTAGGTCGTGAAGAGCAGACTGAGCCAGTTCTGGAAATGCATGCATGACCTCATGTTAACTAAGAAAGAAATGCAGTGCAAAGTGGTGCCTTGGGACTTCAAGAAGACATTTTCAAGGGCCTATCGCATTAGTATCCTAGGCCAGGGGGAGAGAAAAGAGCTGATGTCAAATTCTGGCTCCACCAAAAGCTACCTGAGTAGCATTAGAGAGTTTAAAGGTAATCTCTTATTTATGTACATTTCTGTTTTCAAAAATTTTTTTAAACCTGAGTTGGAAAATTAACTTACATGTCATAAGCAGGATTCTATTCTCGGAGATATATACATATATAGGTAAAATCTATAACACATCTCACCTTCATTTTGGGTTTACTTCTAGCAATTCATATAATCTTTAATTTTACTACTTTCTTTTCTGATTGAACCCAAAGTCTGAAAGCTTACGAACAAAGAGAATTCATTATTTTTAACATCCCAATCAATTTCATTTTAGTCTCAATTTGCATTAAGAATTAAATTTGAAGCTCGTTATCACCAATATTAGAACTTAAAATTTTTTAATATATTTTATTGATTTTTTACAGAGAGGAAGGAAGAGGGACAGAGAGCTAGAAACATCGATGAGAGAGAAACATCGATCAGCCGCCCCTTGCACACCCCCCACTGGGGATATGCCCGCAACCAAGGCACATGCCCTTGACCCTTCAGTCCTCAAGCTGTCTCTCTATCCACTGAGCCAAACCGGCTACGGCAGAACTTAAATTTTTTTCCATTTTTCACATGTTAAAAACTTTCATGGCCAAACGCTTTTCTAAAAGAAAGAGTTTATGGGGCCAAATGTTCCCCAGAAAAGGACCAGGTCCTGGGGCCTGTGGTCCGAACCACTAGCAGCAGGACTGGATGGAGAAGGGACCATGTCCATCGCCCTGCGTTGATGGGCTTTTTTAATACCTTGAGTAGAGGGAAGAAACATTTCACACTGGCTACAGATGAACGGGGTGGGAGACTGAGAAGTGGAACTCACCCTGGGATAGATGCAGAGTCCGTGAGGAGGAGGTGTTTGCTCCTTTGGGCTGCTGGTGGGAGTTCCCAGGGAAGCAGGAATCAGAGCTGCCTGGTGATCGGCGGTGCCTGGCTATTCTCTTTAGCTAA